TTATTAGGACCTCATTTATAGATGAGGAAACATAGCTTAGAAAGCTTTAGTAATTTACCCAAGTTCACACACATCTCCCTAATGGCAGAGCCATAGTTTGAACCTAGACCTGTCTAATTGAGGTGATGGTAAAAGTGCTCCCAGTTATTGATTGCTCATTATGTAACAGGTATTGTTAAACTTACTTAATGACCACAATAATTCTAAGAACCTAAGAGGTAGGTTCTCTTATTATCCATGTTTTGTAAAAGAGGAACCTGAAGCTTAAAGATGTTAAATAATTTTCCCAATGTCACACAGCTAATAAGTGGCAAGACAAAAATGTGGAGCCAAGTTTACCAGTTACCAAACTGCATATATACTATCTTGTGATTAAAATAGTTATTTTTATATGCAGCAGTACTGGCCAAGGCGTTATTTTAACACCATGTCTAATTCTATATATCACAGCTTCCATGTGGAAAGAGATGTCTCATATCTATTGTCAGATATTTAAAGGGTTCTTCTGCAAACCCAGTGGTAACTGACTTCCTTATCCCCAGTGAGTCCAGAGTAAAAGAAATGAACTTCTGGCTCTCTTTAGAGTCTTGGAATAGAAGATACTGACCATTTAGGCTGATGTTATGGGAGCACGAAGGGCAAGTGTGGAGGCCTGGGTGAATTTCTCTTGACTACTCTGTTCCTGCCCCACTTCAGTATTTTTTGTCTCCCTCTTTGACTTTTCATGCTTAGCTCTCAGACTGAACCTGCAGAAGCATGTAGACAGGACATAGGGCTTTCTAGAATTCTGAGAAGTCTGCATTGCTTTTGTCTACTTGATTATACTAGCTGAGTTTATTTATTTATTTTTAAACAAATTTATTTATTTATTTTTGGCTGCATTGGGTCTTCGTTGCTGTGCACGGGCTTTCTCTAGTTGCAGCGAGCGGGGCCTACTCTTCATGTGGTGTGTGGGCTTCTCATTGCGGTGGCTTCTCTTGCTGCGGAGCACGGGTTCTAGGTGTATGGGCTTCAGTAGTTGTGGCTCATGGGCTCTAGAGCACAGGCTCAGTAGTTGTGGCACATGGGCTTAGTTGCTCCGTGGCATGTGGGATCTTCCTGGACCAGGGCTCGAACGCATATCCCCTGTATTGGCAGGTGGATTCTTAACCACTGTGCCACCAGGGAAGTCCTACTAGCTGAGTTTAAATACTCCAGAAACAAATCACTTCTGAGGTCTTCCCTAGCCTCATCCAAGGGTATACGCTGTATACTTTAAAGAGTTCCTCTCCTGTTCTATACCATAAAATTTTATTATTTCTCTTTTATGGAACTATCCGTTTCTAAAAAGTTGGTAAATGCTACTGGAATGAAGAACTTTTGAACTTAATGTGATTTAGAAGACAGAAATTAGCCATTGTGTTTTGTCCTCTCCATCAACTTACAGGCCGATTCTCCTCCCCGCCCCATACTTAATTCTTTACATGTGAAATCACACAGACAGAAGAAAATACCACCTTATAGGGTGCTGTCTTCACTCATTTGGTATAAAAAATTTGAGACTGGTCTGTTTATGTAAGCTTCAAAGAGATGTAACAAGTCACAGGGAGGGAAATAAGGGAAGAGGATGGTTGTTTCTCCTCCACTCCTGTTTGCTCTCAAAGGATGGAAAAGCAGGGTAAACACTGCTGGGAGTCATCAGTGGTAGAATTTGGTGAAGTCTGGGATTCCCAAAGCTGAATGTTTTTGGTACAAGAGGAGTAAGGAACTAGAAGGGTGTGAAAATATACAAATGAGTTGGGGAAGGAGAAATGGTAGCAATAAAGAAAAGTGAGAGGAGGGAAAAAAGGGATAGAAAAGGAAACAAGAAGGTATTTAATACTAAAGAGAGGAAAAGAGAAAGACAAGGGAATACATTATAAAGGGAGAAGAGAGGCTGGAAGATTTGAAGAAAGGAGGCCAGAAAGGAGAAGGTAGAGGTGTGGCATTTCTCTCTGGTGCTTGAATGGGTGAGCTGCTGTTCTAGGAAGGATCAGAGGAGGCAGAAGGTGCGTGGAGGGGCTGCTGTGCCCGGAGCACAAGCAGCCAACCCTTCCATGCCTGTACTTCCCGTGTCAGCCTGCTGGCGTCAGTGCAGTGACATCCTCCCCAGACCAGCATAAATAATCACTTGTTCAAATTGGTTTCACTTTAGGGTGCCAAAAGACACAAGTCTTTAACAAGCCTGAACCTAGAAAAGAAAGCTCATCTGAGAGAAGAAGCTGCTGTGAAGGCCAAAACAGATTAGCAGAGATATCCACGTTGGCTGGATTTTGAAAATCTAGAAACAATGTTGCAGTAACAGACCTTATTAAAATGAATGTGGTATGAGTCCCCTAATCCTGCTCTAGAGCTACAAATAAATTTTCTTAAAGAAATGACTTGTCTATATTTTACGGCTTTGATCCAGGTTAAATGCAGCCTCAGCTTTTTTGAGAAAATGAAAGAATGAAAAGTGAGACAACTTACTTGAACTTTAATATTAACTCTTCTTTAGAGAGTCAGGTCCTGTACCTTACTTTAATTCCCATTACCAAAGTGACATCTCCCCAGAAGCCAAATGGTTTCTAGTTCTGCATTTCTCTCTCTTCAGTGTCCTCATTTCTGAAGAGATAAGGAGGGCCAGCTGAGTACACTGCCCAGGTGCACGTTGGAGAGCTAACCTCCCCAAATACCCTGGTGTTTCTTGAGAGCCCTGGGAAGCAGACAGACCACACTATGCCTTTGTCAGGCGTGCTGGAAGACAGAGGCTTTTAGGAGAACAGTCTTTGAAAAAGTTCCGGCAAGGTGAGGATGGAGGTCTGGCCCCAAGTTTCTGAAGATTTTGAAATCCCAGCACTGTGGAGTTGCTTGGGGCCAGCACAGTCACCTCTTCTGCTCCATGGCTTACAATTCCCAACCGGTCCTTTTTCTTCTGCCTTTACACTAAATTTCTGTTATGAATATCTATCAAATGCATTTTCTTATTAGTGTTGAAAAATAAGCATTTGCATCTGGTATGTATCTTACTTACAGTTCGACGAGGGTGCCAGGTTGTCTCACATTTAGGTATGGATGCTGGTTTCTATTTAAGTATTTCATTTATTCTCACGTGCTTCAATAGTATTAACGGATGGCAGGTCCGCATAAACATCCCAACCTGCTGGTTCTCTTCAGAGGGTTATAGCAGATTAAAAAGTAATATATGCAGCTGTTTGGGAATTTGGTTTAATAAAATACTCAGTAAAATGTAATGCACCACTCTACCTACAGCTTCATAATCTATCTGATGATGTTAATTGTGTCTGTCTATATACTTTACAGTACTTTAACCTTAGCTTCATTTTAGATATCAAGCTCTTTGATTTTTATCACTTGCAAATTTATCATCAAAAAGCATTGCTTTGTATACATTTTAGCAGATTAGTTTTTCTTGATTATTTTGGAACACTTATGTTACGTCTTATCTAAATACGGGTTTTAAATATGGGTAAAATCTAATGTATTTCTTTTTAAAAGTGTATCATCTTTCTTCATAGAACAATACCATTTTTAACTTCTAAAGAAGCATTTTAAAGTGTTGTATCTTGGAGATATATTGTAATAAAATGTATGATTAAGTCAAAGCTCAAAAATGCTACCATGCAGCAAGAATTTATATAATCATTTCTCATTTTGTGTCAACTCTCCTATTCAATAACTTATAGTGACTACCTCTTTTTGGGTTAAATATAAATTTCATGACCAGTATTTAGGACCTGCCCCTATCTAATCCCACTTCTCCCAGTACCCTCACTTATTAACTTCTTAGCAGTCACTCACCTACTAGTAACTCTAGTATCTTATATTGCTTACAACTTGTCAAGCAGATATTTCATGAGCACTATTAAAAGCAACAAGGGCAAAACTGTCTTCTTTTGTATTTCTATAATACCTACTTTCAATTAAGTGATCATTGTACTATGTTTTGCTTAATTCCTAGATTATTTTTTCATGTTTATCATGTCTCTATAGGTAAAATGGGCAGAAAACATTTTCCACTTCATATTTCCTGTAAGCCCTATTTGAATAAAGTTAACATGTGAGGCTATGGTTAGATACTTTAATCAACAAAAATAATTATTCAATAATTATTGAAAGCAGGCAAGGAATGAAGTTGTGATGGTGGTATAATTCATTGTCATTCATCAAACATTACTTGAGTCTCTCCTATATACAGAAAGTGAGAATACAAAGACAAATAAAACATACTTGACTCTGCAGAGCTCATAGTTTACCAGACACATGGCCCATGAAACCATTACAACACAAATTGGTAAATGATATATTTTGAATTTTATAACAGAAGCTACAGCAAGAAGCAAGAAAACCGAATTCAGCTGTCAGCTGTGGCTGGAGGCAGGCAGCCAGTGATGGTTACACAAAGTGGTGATTTTCTGAACTGAGTCTACAGCATGGGTAGGGTTAGGTCAGACCTAATGAAAGAGAGCAGCCTCATTCAGACATTGAGCTTGCCCTGAGAATCAGGAGAGGGCAGTCTGACGAGGTAATGAGAGGTCCTTCAGTAAAATGCCTTTATAATTTTGTTCTGGTTCATTTTTAATTTTTATTTTGATAAAAACTTAAAACTTTTAGATCCTCAGAACAAACACAACCATTGCTTATTTTTCCCAATTTACAAACTTGATTCCACGGACCATTTCACGTCCCATCGTGTAGGCTATCACTTAAAGTGTATGAGTGGCATCTGACATAAATCTCTAATCCACCACCATCCTAGGCTTATTCTCTTAATTCACCTGATCGCCCAAACCAAACACCTTGGAGTTATTCCAGACTCCCTTGCTCCCCTCATTTAATCAGTCATACTGTCTTGTGAGCCTTACTTCTAAATTTTTGTCAAGTACAGTGATCCTCTAGAATAGTCACTGAGAGGAACAGAATGAGAATCTGCTCAAGGACAGACACGAGAGATTAATAACAGACCTTAAGATTAAAGTCAGAAGCCCTGGGATCTAGACTTGCTTTTCCAACTGTGTTGCTTTGCAAATTGAGGTTATAGGTCTTAAAATCTTGTAATTCAAGGCAATGTTTTTTAAAAAATACAAAACCATGCCAAAATTGAGAGGAAACCATCTTTTAAAATACCTAACCTTTTTTTTTTTTTTTGGCCAATTTGACTCTACTACTTGATTTCTAAAGGGTTTAGTAATTACTCATCCACAATTTAACTGTTTTGTCATTTCCTAATGCTGCTGATGCAATGATGTTTTCTGTAGGATGACAAGCTGCTGAGATGACGACATCTGTATGGCCTTGTAATTTCTGTACAACCTCTTTAGTCTGAAGGTTCCAGATATAAACCAGGTTATCCTCTGAACCAGACACAATCCACTTTCCACCAGTAACTGAAAAACTGGCAAATATGCAGTATTTCTCATTCTTGTGACCAGTATATGTCTTCAGGCATCTGCCTCTGCTATAATCCCATAGTTTAAGAGTATTGTCCAAAGTTGCAATGAGAATATATTTACCATTTGGAGAAAATTTTACAAAAGAGACAGGAGGGTTATCATCATCAACAAGTGTTTTTAAACACTGACCTGATGCAGCATCCCAGATTCGACAGACACCATCATAGCTACCTGACACTATCAAGGACCCGCTACAATTAAAGTGAACAGCAGAAACTGGGTCAGAATGAGCAGACAAAGTCTTAAGGCACTTTCCTGTTTTCTCCTCCCATATTTTCATGCTCTCATCAAAAGATCCTGAAATGATGAGGTTAGATGGTGGATTGAAATTACAGCAAAAAACATAATCACTGTGCCCCGTAAGCGTTTTCAAACATTTTCCAGATCTCACATCCCAAATCTTTAGAGTTTTATCATCTGAGGCAGAAACGAGACGACCGGAATCTGATGACCAGGCAACATCTGATATTTCCAGATTGTGTCCTTTAAGTGTTTTCTCATTTTTTCCATCATAGGCTCCCCAAATTATAATTACTTTATCAGCAGAAGAACTTGCCAGCCATTCTCCATTAGGACTAAACTTAACTGATGATACTGCTTCCGTATGTCCCACCAGAGTAAATTTCAGAGCATAGTTTGGTGTTTCAGACACACGCTTGCTCGGATTGGCTGATGAGGAGAGAGCCGACTCTGCTTTGGCACCTCCTGACTCCTTTGTAGTCATGACTCTGAAGCTCCAAGTCTGTAGGCTGGCTAGATGTCCGGTCCTGCACCAGGCAGCCAGTATTTTGGCCCTTCTGTCCAGTAAAATGAAGATAAAAAACATCGGACTCAAAAAACAAAAAATCAACAAACTAAAAAACGGTCTTTTAGTGACAATAATTTCTGGATCGTTTTTAAACTGCAATATACACTGATACAGCAGCACGGCTTGGACCGCTTCAGTTTTTCCTCGCTTCTTCCTCTGTAAACAAATACTTGAGAAATACTATTAAAAGGGTCCTGTGCTCTGTCGGCAAGTAAGGTATTACTGCTGGGTATTCTGCGAATGTATAAAGTGGTCCAAAGCTGCACGCGGAAGGGTGGGGCGAGGGGGGGGGTGGGAATCTACAGAAAGTATTTCTCACCGCTCCTCCCCCCAGCTCTGAAATGTTTGAGACTACTGAGCACCCCTACCCGTCAGACTTTAGGTACTCCACTTGAGCATGAATGAATCACCGCTTTAAACAGATTTCAGAAGCTAAGCGAAAACCTGCGTGGGCTCGGTTCCCTGAGGTCCAGGCTTGCAGCTCACTCTCCACACCGCTCCGTAGCGAACTAACGCGAGGGCAGCACAGTCGGACGCATGCGCAGAGGGTGCCCTGCCATCACCACTTCCGAACCGAGGTGACTTGTGGGGGAAGCCCGCTTGCGCTTGCGCATAAGAAAGTCCTGAGGTTTTCTTCCGGCATTCTGCACCCTCGCCCTCCACGCGCGAGCAGTGAGCTGCGTTCTTGGGGGAGAGGGAAAGTGAACAAGGCTTCTTCCAGACCTCACTGGCTAGCGTGGGAAGCAGTGAGTATTTCGAAGAACATTCATTACTTTTTGGAAACCGTGTGACGAGAACGGACTGAATTTTGCGATGCCCGTAGCTGCAGGGTTAAGCCCGCATTTGGATGTAAGGCGCTCAGACCGCGCGTTTCTTAGCAGACCGGGGCCCACCCAGCGCCGATGACTCTGCGTAAGCTCCGACTGCACAGGTGGCTTTCATTCTGTTCTCCACCTGATGTCGTGTAGAGCCTGGTTGGGGGTACGAAAGGCTGCAAGTAGGCGAGGGGGACGTAGCTAAATTTACGCCCAGATTGTAAGACTTCTGATTTAAAAAGTGTTCCCTAAACGTTTCGGGAAGGATAAAGAATATGTGTTAGGGGCCTTTAAAGGCCAGTGCCCAGGTAGCCCGACATGGTAGTGCCGGGGAAAATGAGCAGACGTTTGTCTTAGCACTTCCTTATGGTTTAAATTTTCCAAAGACAAGGAAAGTTCAGATCTGCATAGGTGTTTGGAACGGAAAAGGTAGAAGGGGGTAAGAAATGTGTAAGGTTACTCGTAACTAGGCTTTAGCCAGCCCTCCCTACTTTTAAGAAATGATTAGTGGCTGTGAAGTATGTGAAGGATAGATGCTTTTCAGGTGTAAATTACTCTTTAAACAAGAATAAGTTTACCAAAAATGGAAGCCTGACTATTTTCTCCAATCCTGTATAGTCTGTCCCTTGGTATCTACAGGGAATTGGTTCCACGACACCCTCCCCTCCGCCCCGCCACACATCATACCAAAATCCACTGGACGCTCAAGTCTTTTGTATAAAATGCTGGAGTATTTTCATATAACCTACTCACATCCTTCCCTATACTTTAAATCATCTCTAGATTACTTACAATACCTAATACAAATGCTATGTACATAGTTGTCAGGATGAAGCAACTTCAAGTTTTGCTTTTTGGAACTTTCAGGATTTTGGGGGGAAGATTTTTGATCTGTGGTTGGTTGAATGTGAGGATGTGTAACCCACATATAGGGAGAGTCGATCGTAATTGCTCAATAAAGAGTGCCCAAGAGAGGCTGTGTTGTTTGAAAGGTTTTCCTGGTAGCCAGTTGAAGTGAAGAGGCAAATGTGTCTCATGATGTTTTCTGTCAGTCAACAATTAAAGCATTTGGAAATAAAGGGTCTCCTGTCCTGTACATACTGGGGATAATTTAAAGTCTTGCTTTTATAAGGCACAACAGAATTAGATCACCTAGAATAAACTAGTAAAAACCTCATTACTTAAAGACCCTACTACTCTAGTTTGGAATGTAGACAGGAATTGACTTAGCTAGTGCAAATTAACAGTATAAACACAATGTGGTGCTGAGAATGGGAAGAGCATCTTTAAAATGGTTTGAAGCATCCATTTTTATACATTATCTTAATCTGATTAAACTCCACCTCCTCCTTCTCCTTTCCTCCTCCCATTTGCCAGGGTTAGAGTGATTTTTACTGGAAAGCTTAGAAACACTCTAAATAACTCATTAAAAAATAAATTTAAAAGCACTTCACAGAACATAGGCTTTGTTTCAAAGAATATAAGTAAATCTGTATTTTTCCAACACACAGAGTAAAGAAAGGCAATTAGACAAGGTAAACACATGGTCTGAGGGCTAAGATGGGTGTTGGTACTGGAGTATATTTAGCCCACTAGAAATACCACAAGCATGAGGGAGAGAGGGGGCACACAATTAAGAATGTGTTGACAGGAATATCCAGAAATGATTTTGCGTCAGATTTTCCCAAAATTTGAGAGATTTCAGTATTAAAATTCATTTCTTGGTGTCTGCAGTGTTTTTATGAATAGCATCAGGAACTCGTGTAAAGAAAAAGCTATGAACATAACTAGTTAAATCTTCATTCATTAGTCATGTTCTAATACTAACATGTAGTCCTAATATTGTAGTCCGTATGGATTAGGACAAAGAATTAGTTTACTTACTTGGGAGGAGGGGAGCATCAGCAACTGTGGAGTGTGTAGGAATAGGGAATACTGATACAAGTAAATCCAAAGTGGCTGAAACCATAACTAGAGATTTGCATTTGGGGCTCTCAAGCAAAATTCCTTACTCGGTCCCGTTTTTAATCATTTCTATTTTTGCTACTTTTTTTTTTTTTTTTTGCTGTATGCGGGCCTCTCACTGCTGTGGCCTCTCCCGTTGCGGAGCACAGACTCCGGACGCGCAGGCTCAGCGGCCATGGCTCACGGGCCCAGCCGCTCCGCGGCATGTGGGATCTTCCCAGACCGGGGCACGAACCCGTGTCCCTTGCATCGGCAGGCGGACTCTCAACCACTGCGCCACCAGGGAAGCCCTATTTTTGCTACTTTTAATCTTCACCAGATAGGTGAAGTTTGGAAGTTTCTCTCCCATTAAAGTTTCTTTAAATTTCCCATAGAAGTTTTAGAACTGAAAGTCTCATCTGTGGTTGAAAGGTTTATTCTCCTTGCCACCCAGTAAAGTTGCAATTCTAAGTAGAAATTTCTAAGTAGAAATATTGCCACAAACGGGTCATTTTTTTTTAATTTTAAAAAAATTGGGGGTTGGGGGTGGGTATGTGTGTCAGACCTTAAACACGGCCTGGGAGTGATTCCTATACTAAGGAACAACTTGACTGACGTCCTTCGTAGCAACTGACTACCAAACCCAGACCTCAAAAATCAAGCATAATAGAACTCTATACATACCCAGTCGCCTAAGACCACTAGCAATTTAAATATACAAGCATCTCTTTGGGCTAAATATGGGGTGGCCATGCAACTTATCTAAACTGAGACTTCTTTAAAGTGAAACGGGGCACTAAAATAATTAACAGGTGTTGATTTAAAAACTGGGACTGCCCCCAGCAAATCAGAACAGTAAGTGTGGACTTCCCAAGAGGGCTCTCCTCATTATCAGAAGTTAATCTTGGAAGATTCTACACTCTTTGTACGCTAATTTGCACTCCAGCCTGCGCAGATCTCTCCCCACCACTGTGGTCTTCTGGGTTTCTATTTTCTCCTTACCCATAAATAATGCTGGGGCCAAGTGTTTTAGATAGGGCAGTGATCCATATTGTGGACACCCGCTGGGCTCCTTTGGCTTCCTCAGGTTAAGTGGGTATAGATAAAGGAATTTAGAGAGTAATTTCATTCTTTGGAAAAACATTCAAGATCACAGAAATGACCATTATGGATTTTAAAATTAGAAAAATACTTTTTTTTAAAAAAAAAGGTCATGAAGAACCTAGGGGGTTAAGACGGGAATAAAGACACAGACCTACTATAGAATGGACTTGAGGATATGGGGAGGGGTAAGGGTAAGCTGGGACGAAGTGAGAGAGTGGCATGGACATATATACACTACCAAACATAAAATAGACAGCTAGTGGGAAGCAGCCACATAGCACAGGGAGATCAGCTCGGTGCTTTGTGACCACCTAGAGGGGTGGGATAGGGAGGGTGGGAGGGAGGGAGATGTAAGAGGGAAGAGATACGGGAACATATGTATATGTATAACTGATTCACTTTGTTATAAAGCAGAAACTAACACACCATTGTAAGGCAATTATACTCCAATAAAGATGTTTAAAAAATATTTTTTTTCAAAATGGCAAATGAAATAGGGGCAACAGTCATCTAAGCCAGCTTTAATAAACTTGTAAAAACTCTACAATTGTGTACTATGGATGATAGTGTAGTCTGCAGGAACTAAGACTGTTTTAAGATTTTTTGTTTTCAGAAAAAATACCTGGTCAGTGGAATGTCAAAAGTGGTAGAGAAGCAATCACAGAATGAATAAATACATCTTTCTGTTTCTACTGATTTGTCACTTAAATTGGAAGAATGTATAAAGTAAGTATTCTCATGCAGCAATACATATAATGTGTAAAAATGAAAAATCTCTATTTAATAGCCTAATAAGGCAACCACCACTTCCACATTGGTTGGATATAATTGGCAAAAAAATTTTTTCTTCTTAGACTATGCCAGAAGAGACTGATGAGCTATTTCTGGTGTATATATAAACATGGTGTTGATTATATATTAGTTACCCTGTAAAATATACCCTTTAACTTTTCTCAGAAGGCATAGGGGTTTTTGTTTTGTTTTGTTTTAATATAACAAACCTGTGTTATGACAGCATTTGCTTTTGTAAACTTCAGGTCAAATTATGTCTCCTGAAAGGGAACTACATATAAAACATTTAAATTTTGAGACACTAAAGAGTTGTTAATCCTTGTTTCAAACAGCAGCATAAAGGAATTCCTTTGAGCTTTCTTTGGTAACCAAGTACCCTTTACTAATATCACATAGATGCACATTCCTTCAGTCATTTAATATTTATTGAATGTCTACTGTGTGCAAGGCACTCATCCATGGCCTGACCAACCACATTCAAGTACAAAGAATCATTAGAACCATTCCAAATCAAAGTGTAAGAACACTTTGAAAAAGGACATAGAGTGGTCAAAATGACGAGGTAAGCAGAACATTCTCAACAACATACATTAAAAGGTCATTTTTTTAAACTTTGGACACTCCTTGTGTTGACACTCCTTTAGGAAGCTGTGTTAAATTCACATCCATGGATGGCACTGCTTTCTATGGCAGCATTCTTTGTTCCAAAGCCTTTCCCTCTCTGTCAGTACTTCCTACATTTGGGTTTGTTGAATGGACACGTTTCTGAGTTTAGCCATTATGCTTCTAAACTCAAAATCAATCATTTATATATTATTTTTAATTTGTCAGGTCATACAGAATTTTAGCACCACAGAAGGGGAAAGATGTTTGGACTGAGAGGGTCTACACTCCAGATAATGTAACCTAAAAGCAATTCATACCTGATTTAGTCATTTCAAGGGGACTGATAAGGAAGAACAAGAAAGAATGGCCCAACAAAACAAGAGTTGGCCCCGCTATGGTTGCTCTGTCTTGTTCTGGGAATTCTTGGCACAGAACACCTCCACTGTGACTGCTGCTTTCTTCAAGACACACAACCTGCAGGGCTTTCCCCCACCTTTAGACAGTGTCCAAGGGCTGTGACCTTGAGGCAAAGTAAATTCTCCTAAGTGCTGATTTTGTCACTATAACATAATGACAATTATCCACCTCGAAGAGCAGTTGAAGGATTGATTAAATGAGAAAAAGTGAAAGCCCTTACTTAGCCAGGCACCTGGAACACAACAATGGTTCAAATCACGACTAGTTGCCTTTATGTAACCTGTAGGAAAACAGACTGGGACTTCCTTGTCTACCCCTAGCTGAAAACAGAATGGAACTTCATCTACCCTTAATCCTTTCTTATTACCCCCAACTTCCAGATGAATTTTATGTCCAGTAGCAATCTGATATTTTTAGCATCAGCATATAATGATATTTATTTTACTTTATCACATTCTTCTGATGCTCTGGTACCCATTGTTACTACCTATCCTTTTCTGACAATAAAGCATGTTACAGAATATTCTCCAGGTTAGAGCAGACTTACTGTGCTAGTAGTACTACATCTGCCTTCAATTACTTTAGCTTCTTAAAGATATATATGTAACTTTAACTTTTGATGATAGAAAAAGATAGATAGCCAAGAATATTTCCCAGCGGGGTAGACATATATTTGCTCACCTCACAACAGAAGAAAATGGTTCTGTTAACTTCAGATGGCAAAAAATTCAGATTTGAGACTTCCATATATATGTATACCTGTCTCTGCAAATGAGCAAATTTTGGAATGTAGGAGGTAGAACATAGTAAATAAATATGAAAAGCAAATAATACCTCTTTCTAAAAGTGGATCCCTTTTCTTTAGTGAAAATCACCCTTAGACATCACAATTTCTAATATATGTAAAAAGCCCCAAGCCCTTAAACAGCTATAATGACTTGCCTATTGATATAAAAATGTTCACAAAATTCATTAGCGAGAAAGAAAAATTCTTCAACCTGAGGAAAACTCTTTCATAATGCAACCCCAAATTGGGGTATTAAATAACTGAAATATTTATTTAGCACTAGAGAAGTAAATTCATAGTTGCCCGTGGGTGGCCATGTACAACAAAGGATAGTTGACAAACTTTGATTAATAAAATATACTACATATTTTTCCTTATGCAAAGTCAGCAACAATCTGGAATAATTCAGATTTATTATGGGATAACTGTTAAAGTTTATATCTGTAACAATAACGATGAAAAATGACCCAGAGCCCATTCAGCTTTATCTGGCAGATGGAAGGAACAATCCTAGGGCAATAGAATTTTCGAAAACAGTACAGCTAATATAAGTTAAGTTTAAAAGGGTTCTAATTACTTAGTGACAACATGAATTAAAAGTGTTCCATGGAGAACTCTGTCTCCTAATTCTCACCATTCTTCGTATCTATCATCTTTACCTTTTTTGGTGTCTCTCAATCTGGCCGTTATCTACCTCCTGGTCCTTCAGATACAAAGTGCCTTTACATCCCAAATGTTATCAATGCTTTTTTTCCCACTAAAGTTCTCATTTCAAAGAATATACTTCGAAAGTTTGGAGGAGGAAGAAAAGGAGAGAAAAGTAAAATCAAGCCACTTCCCACCCCCACCCCATCAGTATATTAAACTACAGAAGAGTTTTCCTGTGTTGAAATTAGCATGCTTTTGTAATAAGTAACATCTTAGTGATAAGATTATACAATAAAGTAAATTGATACAATCTGCCAGGTAGAGAACTAAAAATAGGACTTAACAGCTACCTCCTAAATGTCATTCTATTACCAAAAAGGCTGCTTTATCAGTTACAACAGTTATGCTGGGATTTAACTTTTAATCAATTCCAACTTTTATATTAAAAAAAATTCACTGCAAAAAATTAGCTCGTTATCTCATGGCTCATGAACTTCTAGGACAGGAGCAAGATAAATTCCTCTTGTTTTAGACAGAAAATAGACCACATTAGTTAAATGGACTTTCTTTGTTTTAATTCATTCATTGAGACACCTGCAATTGCTAGCAAAAATTCCCAATGTATGCTCTTCTTGCTAACTTGGGGAAATAATTTTGTTTTATATTTTTTCCATTCAAATTGGTTTATCAAAACAAGCTGAAATTTTTTAAATTATCCAATAGAAGGTACATGATTTAAAATATCCTAGAGAAATGTTATCAGTAATTTACAATTTAAAAAAACTCAGCCACGAAAAAGTCAAAGCTAAAAACAAGAATTTTACTATGAATCAGTGTTTATATTACCCTTCTGAAAGAAGTTATATTTTAATGTGATGTAATGGCAACATTGAAAGTTTTTCTTTAAATTAACCACCTAATTTGTCCCTAAAATTACAAAGAATCAAAGTCTTTTACAGGTCAAGTGCAGTAAACTAAAATGTTCTTTCAGCACAAAGCAGCACTAGAAAAAGTAACAGTTATAGATGGGAGTTGACTAGTTTTGCGTGGCTGCTCCATCAATAACAGACAGACATCAGACGGTCATCCATCCAGAGCACAGACACAGTTACAGACTAGATGCAAAAAATGCATCACACGCTTGGCTGATAAATGTCCTCTGTCTTTGTATCTTTCTACTTTGAATGAAGTGGATTTTTTAAAGTTTAAATCAGATCACATAAGTTGGCTGCTTAAATAACATGATGAGGTATGAAAGCTCTGAATGTCCCTAAAGT